CTAGTCACGTTATCATGGATGTTCACCCATTTAACTGCAAGAGGGCTCCCTTAAACATGAGAACAAAAGAACTGCCAACAACCTACATCTCCAATAATAAATATGGAATGTCATTTGGCAATTTAAAATGGCAGAAGTATATTTAACATTGTGGAGAAAATGTTGGTGATAGAAAGCTAAGTGGACAAAACGAAACGTAGGCCTTAAAGCTACTTACATTATGATCCCATTACAAATGTACTTACATGCTTTATGGTAAAAAAAAAAAAAAAAGAAGAAGAAGAAAACCTGTCAGGTTAATAACAGCTAGCTCTAGGTGATAAATGAAGAAAAAAAAAAGAAACTATTTGTGACCTCTTTCTACTTGGATCGACAATCAGTGGTCGCAGAAGCAGCAGTCAGTAAATCAAATGATGTATTTGCACTGGGCAAATTGTTGAATGGAAAATTAATTTGCTCTGTAAACTTTCACCAGGCAACAGTAAAACAAACAAGCAAACAAACAAACAAAAACTGTTGCTGCTAATAAGTGATGCCATTTCATTAAAAAAAAAAAAAAGATTCTAAAAGAAAAAGTGACTCTTTGATGACAAAGATGTGCCTGACCCAAGCCATGGGCTTTTCATTCCCTTCATATGACAGTGAGAAAATAAGAAAGGAGAGCTGAGGCACTGGAATAGTGGTGGTGAAGAATACTGACTACACCGTTGACTATCAGAAGAGCAAGCTAATCTGTCTTAGAAGAAATATAAAGACTGTTCTTAGAAGCTAAGAGGACAAGACTTCAGCTCGCTGACTGTGGTAGTTCAGGTGGTGTGGCAACTTGGCTGGGCCGGGGTTTTGAGTGGCTGGAGAGCTGGATGTGGTTATTCCCGGTGCTGAAATTGTGATTACCCCCATGGTGGAATCTGCTGTGAGCAGCTAAATGTTGCCTTCAGGGTGTGGCTGCTTCCAGTCTATATGGAGAAGCTTTGAGGAAGGTCTCTAGTTTTGGAGCACATCTGGATCCTGCATTAGGCTGAGTCGTCATCTGGCCTGCTGTGTTGCCTGCCAGTCTTGGGATTGTTCTTGGACTTGAACTAGTGGCCTGCCGGTCTTGGAATTGTACCATTTTACCTGCAAACCCTGGATTTGCCAGCCTCAGCATGCAGCAGTTGCCTGAGTTAGGAGAAGCCTCCAGCTCCAGTGGGCCTGGAATAAGAGGTAGAGCTGAAGGCCAAGGTTGAGTGGCCTTCATCCAGCCCCTCCAGCTGGCCCTCTGAATTTGGACTTCTAGCCTCCTGAGCTGTAGGAATAAGTGCTTGTTTGTTAAGCCATCGACTTGAGGTGTATCTGTTACAGCAGCCCTGGGGGGCCAAGACCCTTCCTCCGAACGTTCATCAGGAAAGATCAGTCATGAGGACGGGACACCGTGCTCGGTAAAGTAGAGGTCCAGCAGAAACAAGGGAAACCCTCACTGGGGTGGACTGACACAGTGGCTACAACAGTGCGTTCAAACGTAGCAGCAGTTATGAAGATGCCACTGGACTGGGCAACGCTTTGTTCTCTTGTACGCGGCATTGTCGGGAGTCGGAGCCCCTCAACAGCAACTACAAGGGGCAGGAACCCCTTGTTTGGCTATCGGTGCTTCCATCCTCCCCCTGGCTCAGAGCTGCAGACATTACAGGGAGAGAAGAGGAATAATATGCAGCCACACACACTCCCAAGTCACAAAATCAATGACCAGCCCCGGATGAGTCTGGGCTGGCCGTATTTGCAGTAATTCCAGTCTGAGACCATGAGGAGGGAGCTCCTTCTTCTTCTTGCCCCACCTACGGATTGCCAAGTGGTTACTATTTTAGCAGAGCTTATGGGCTTCAGCATCACTGGCTTACATGGAGGCTTGGGCCCTAGAGGTCCATGAAGCCCCCATGGATGCCGCTCAAAGAGCAGTGAAGATAGCACCAGATAAGAGAGGGGATGACATGTCACAGCCCAAATGTTTGTGCAATTAGCAGAAATGATAGACCGGAACTACTACTGAGGCTGGGCTGTCGATGGGGTTCCCTTCAAAATGAATGGCTTGGGAAGGAAGGAGCTCCTTAGAAGAACCATTGGTGCTGTAGGTCTTCATGCTTCTGATCTCATCAAGGATTTCCTGTCAGCAGTGGAAAAGGCTAGGAGTGCTGAGTTCTAGGACACAGCATTTGAGTCAACAAATGGCTTCAAATGTGAGTGTGAGTGAAGCACACTGTTGACAGCCCTCCCTTCCCTGACATGCCAGTATCTCATAGTCTAACTGGATGTATCATGCCAGAGAATGGGATTCTTCATAATACCAAACTCTAAGCAGTGTATATAAGGAACTCTGGCTGCTTAGTGGTAAGGCATTTGACTGCTAACCAAAATGTCATTCATTCAAACCCACCAGCCACTCCATGGAAGGAAGATGGGGCAGTCTGCTTCCATAAAGATTTACAGCCTTGGAAACCCAATGGGAGTTGCTGTGAGTCAGAATCCACTCGATGGTAGTGAGTTTGATTTGGTTTTGGGAGTAGTGTGTCTGGTGTGCAGGCATTGTTTCAAGCACATTACATGTACTGACTTGTGAACCTCAACAGCCCTATGAGGTATAACTATTAGTAATCCCTCTTGAAATACGTAACAGCCTAGGGAGTGGGAGATTAAAGGAACATGTCCACAATCTACTAAGTGTAGTAGCTGGAATTCTAAACCAAGGCAGTACTCAAGAGCCATCACTCCAAATCACTTCACTGCACTGCTTTGCAGTTTGGGATGGGGATTGTCACTTGTGTTTCCTTAGATTCACAGGAATGGAGGAAAATGAATGAGTCAAGTCCTTATTAAATGCTTGATGTTGGGTAGGAGCTAGAGGGATACAGAAAAAAAGTGTAAAAATATTCTTACATTGAAGGAATTTAGAAAAAAGAAGAAGATAAGATAGACATTCGAAAAGTCAATTTACAGCACAAGGGTAGAAGCAAACGAGTGTTATGGAAATTCAGAAGAGGAAGAGGCTCATTCAGTCCAGTGTGGTCGTTCCAGACGCTATGGTCTTAGAGAAAGTGTAGGATGTAGACCTGTGGTCACAAGTGGAAAGGCTGCTCCTGGTGGAGACTGTGGAAGGAAAGTTCTCAGAGCTGGAAAAGCTCAAGGAGTGTCTGGGTGCCCGTGTAGAAGAACTGCAGCCTAGGAAACACTCCGGGACAGCTCTGTTCTGTCACATAAGGGTCTCTAGGAGTTGGAATAGATGCAATGGCACCCAACAACAACAGTTCCAAGCTGAAGATGGTGAACTTCAGTGTTTAAATACTGGAAGTTAGCAATAAATACTATTAATTGAAAACCTGGAAATTGAGATGATTGAAGATCTTTTTATTTTTCTGTTTCGGCATGGTCATCATACTCCAGATGCAGATCTGCTAGGGGATCTGTTTTTCCAGTGGGACAACCAGGAGAGAAGACTCGGCTAAGCAGTGGATTGGAAGAGAGGAGACAAAGAGGACTTGGCTCTTGGATGACTGCAGGGTTGTGAAGGGGCCATAACATCTCAGCCATTTTCTCATTGCCCAATGACCATGCAAAACTGAAAAAAAAAAAAAAACCCTCACTGCTGTCGAGTTGATTCCGACTCATAGTGACCCTTCCTTCCTTGGGGTTTCCGAGGAGTTATCACTACGAAAGTAGATTGCCCAGTGTTCCTTCTGAGGAGTGGGGTGGGTTTGAACCACCAGCCTTCTGGTTAGCAGTCAAATGCCTTAAGCAGTGTGCCACCAGAGCTCCCCCCAATGACCGTGGTGATTAGAAAGAACCTCTTTTTCCCCTGCTAAATGAGTACCTATTTAACGATGAAGACATCCAGCAGTACAGAGAGCAAGTGGCCAAAATTATATTTCTGAAGATAAGAAAATGACTCTTACTCTTTCATGGTGAAATATTAAATAACTAGAGCCATGTTTGACACTTCCAACCATATTTATTGATTCATTCACTCCAACATTGATGCATTTGCCTTGTTTTAGACACTGTGCCAAGTACCAAGGAAGGAAACAGTGGTAGACAAGGCACAGACGAAAACTTCAAGGAATTTACTGGGGTCCAGTGGGGTGAGAGAAATCGCCAGCTGGTTTTAATATGGTTTCACAAGTGTCATGATAAATAAGGTGACTGTATATCCCACATGTCTGGGTGATAAATTGTAGGACTGACCCAATTATGAAAACAGAGTTAAAGCACGAGATGAAGGAGCATTGAAGGTGGTGTTGGATATGGTATCGGGGGGTCGGGTCATGGGGGGCTGTATGGAGGATGTGTGTCTCGGCTGATGCCTTCAGGATGAACAGGGTGGGAAGGCTGGCAGGGCTGCAAGGAGAGCGGTGGTGCAGAGGGGGATGGTGGCATCCCAAGCAGTGTTGATTAATTGCATGGATTCATCAATAAACAAATAAAACATCGTGAAAGGGCAAACTCACAGAACTTTCAGCTCCTCGTGAAGTTTACGCATTGCATTTCTCCCTGGTCGTGGAAGAAACGTTTCATAAAACATAGACTTTTAGCCTATTTCTAAAGTAAGTGGTTGAACTAGATGAGTTCTGTCCCTTTGTAGCTTTAACCCCATCCTAAGCAGCCTGCAGCTGCAAAGTGGGGCAAGATCCTCCAGGCAACAAAGATGTCCTCTCTCTCCAGTTAAGCACTTACTTTATTCTTTAGTTATTTTATTCCAATCACTTTTATTTCTTTAGTTCTATTGAAAGCCTCCTGGGGGCAGGGGTCGTATCATACTTCTGCATGTCCTGCCCTGTGCCGTTGGCTTGTGGTGATTGGGAAACTGGTGAAGGGAATGCGGAAGAGCCAGGTTCTTCTGTTTCATTATCCCTATCCCCAAATGACTTTTTTATTCAGCTTTGCAAGGCATTTTAACCCTGTGACTGTACCTTTTCTGTCCATGGTACATTTTTCGGACTTTTTTTTGATGGACGTCTTATTTTCTTCTCCTTTAGGGCCTTCTGAGTTACTGGATATGGCCGACAGCGAAACGTGAGTGTTAACACACTTTCCGTAGTCTTGATTGTTTTCTTCAAGACTTACATAGAAGAAGGAAATTCCAGGGTCCATGAGAGGCGGTTTCAATGAAGGGATTAGGAGTCCATGTCCCCCTGTATTTATACCTGTGCAGGGCTCATCTTCTCAGTCGGAAACTGCCCAGTGAAAGGTGGTAATGGATGGCCCGATCACCAGTGCACCACCATCACTGTCAATCACTTAGTGCCTCTGCACTGGAGCCTCTTGTATGCATGAAAAGCCTAAGGAAATGAAATGACCTTTTATTTACCCACCACATTCCCTCTTTCTCAAGTGGGGTTCCAGGAGAGAATGGAACCCTGAAGCCCTCAGGGATCCATCGGCTGCTGCATCTAGAAAGGAGCATGTTAAGTGCCACCATGGGAGAACCGAGGCCGTTACTCCAGTCATCTCCTGTCTTCTGTGGTTCAGAGGAGGAATCCTGGTTGAGAAAGTTGTTGGCTTGAGGACTGTCCCCTAATGATAATGTTTGCTTTCAGCTTCTTATTCTTAGGGCAGTGAGGTAGCTACCACTCCCAAAACACGAACAAAGAGATGCTAAATGAATAACCAGAACCCCATGAGGATATCAACGAAATGATGATTAGGGATAAGGATGGGTGGGGGTAAGCAGAGAGGAGGAAAAGCAAGAAGGAACAGGATAGAGGGCCATGGGAACCAGACGTGAAAGGAACTGTTCTGGCTACTCACAGCTGGCCCCCTGCCGGCATGTGCTATTGGCCAGGTTGTGAAGGTGCCGTCTCTGACCTCAGTTTGCCTTTTCTAAGGACTGCGTTTGATGTTGCGTGAGTCTTTTCACACGGAGGCTCAGAATCGACACGCTCTCCTCCCTGTGCATCCTGGGTGGTATGGGACCTATTTCCCCAGCTCCCTTCCCACCTGGGTAACTGGGACCTCTGCAGTGGACTCATGGCCCCAGGATGAGTCTTTGGTCCTGGACTCACCCCGAGACTCTGGCTCCTCCATACTCTCTGTGGTTGCCCTCCCCTACCTGCCACTCACAGAGACTCCAGGTGGATGGAGCCGGTGTCGGCCTGGGTCTGTGAAGTTGGGCTCCCAGAATAGCCCCTCCAAGCTGGGCACAGATGTCTAACATGTGGCAATTCCATGTCCAGGGCCTTTGGTTCTTATCCCCTTTCCCTGTGGCCTTCCTTGGAGACCCCTGAGGCTCTGCCCAGATGAACACTCACACAGAATTGCTCGGTAGCCCGCCTATTTAATAGCGCAGCCATGCATTACCTACCCCAAACAGAAGTTGTTGAAAAAGCCACTAGGCCCAGTCACCAGCACTGCTTAGAAAAGAGGCTGGGGTCAGAGACCCAGTTAAAGCTCCCTGGGTGGCGCAAACAGTAACCGAAAGGTTGCTGTTCGAACCCACCCGTAGGCACTGAGGAAGAAAGGCCTGGCAATCTGTTTCTATAATGATTACAGTCAAGAAAACCCTCTAACACCTGGGCTGTCCCAAGTCACAAATCAACCACAGAAACAAAATTGACAGCACATGTCATAGTTAGATGATAGCTGAGGCAAGGCTCCTCTCGAGCCCCTCCCCCTCCAAGGAGGTCATGGTGGCCAAGGTTTAGGGCAGAGGACGGGAAGGGTGGAGGAACTAGCGCCTCAGCTCGGGTGTGATGCAGACCCTCACCCCTCCCTGCCCGCTCTGCCGCCCACCCCCTACACAGCCCGTTCCCATCCCGTCTTTGATTTAGGGGTGAGACTGCGCTGCACAAGGCCGCCTGCCAGCGGAACCGGGCCGTGTGCCAGCTCCTGGTGGACGCGGGAGCATCCCTGAGAAAGACCGACTCCAAGGTAACTGGGCAGCCGGCACAAACATCCTCCCGCCGGCCCCTCGTGGGCTGCAGCGCCTTCACTTGTGTTGGTGGCAAAGGCGGCCTTTCTGTGCTCAGGGAAGTGCCTGGGGCTTTGGAAAAAGGAGGAAAAAATAAAAGTGTTTCGTTTAAAGAAACTGCAGTTTAAACATATAGGACAAAGGGAGGGGGTGTGCTTGTCTGTGCAGCTTTATGAACTCTGAAGTGCCGCCCTGGGGACCTTCCGCAGCCCGTCTGGGGGAAGGAATCCCCGGTGCTGCGAACGGTTACCACGCTCGCTCTACTGCTGCCACAGAGGTCGGAGGTTCAGGTCCAGCCTAGGTCACCGCGGAAGGGATGCCTGGTGACCACCTACCTAAATAGCAGCCATTGAAAACCCAATGCGATACAGTTGTACTGACACACATGGGGTCGCCATGAATTGGAATTAACACAACTGCGTTACTGGCCCATTCGGGTGGGCGGCAGACACATTGTGGTGAGGTGAGGTGAGGCCCAGCCGGAGGAAAGGGGTGAGTGCCGTGTTCAAAAAACACTGGCCTGGTTACCAACAAGCTCCTTTGGCACTCCCGCAACAGCTCCTTAATCCAGTGTAGTTTAACGTCTGCAATTTAAAGGGCCTATATTTGGGCTCTGGTAGCATAGTGCCCAAAGCACTTGACTGCTAACCAGAAGGCTGGCGGTTCAAACCCACCAGCCACTCCTCGGAAGGAAGATGGGGCGATCTACTTCTGTAGTGATACTGCCTCAGAAACCCAAGGAGGGGTTGCTATGAGTCGGGTCCGATTCGATGGCACATAACAACAACAACAACAACATATTTGGGATCAAAGGATTTACTGATTGTCTCACAGGTTGGAAGCCCTGGCCTTGAGGTAGTTATGATTTTCAATCCCATATGTTTATGTTTGTTTTTTTTTTCTTGTTTTTGTTTTTAAAGGATTTCTTTAATATGTTTTCCTATTTGTTGTTTTCCAAATTAAGCCCAGAATTTAGGCAAGGCAGGAATTGCTATCCTTATTCACAGAAGCAGGAACTGAAACCTACAGTAAGTTAAACATGCCCCTGTTACAAGAGCTGAGCCCCAACCTCAGCTTTAGGACCCTAATCCAGGGTTGTGTGAACTGGTCAGTTCTCGTTGGTGGCAGGCCACCCCACTGCCCCAGCAGGATGAACCGTGACCACAGAGGAACGAGGTTGAGTTTCACTTGTGGTTTGTATGATCTGTAGTATTGGCTCATGGTGGTAGGTATTGCAACGTGGCTGGAGTGTGGTTGGTTTCTCTACAGCAAAAGTGACATGAATCTGGATTCAAAGTCTGTTAATGGTTTACTAGGACAGCAGTGGGGCCAGAAACAGTCAGGGGCACATATGCCAACCTGAATCAGGGTGAGCCAACAGGTGGAGGTGAGGCGTCTAAAGGAAGTGTGCTTAGGATGGCTGCTCCGTGAGATACTGCATGAGAAAAGGGAGGGCAGGAGGAGTGAGCTGACTTAGGACTGCAGCCCACGAGAGGGAGGACAGGCAGACTGAAATACACACATACGGGCAGAGAGAGAGAAGGTGAACAGCACATCAACCCTGTTGAGGGTCTTGGATAAGCTGTGAACATTGCACAGCGTGCTGGGTCAACTTCAAGAGAGGACACATCACTTAACTGTAGAGGGGAATTTGATATATTGATGGGAACTTAATTAAGCAGGTACCAATTAATCCAACTTTGGAACCTAGATAAATGACTTAAAGCCTAATTAATGACTTAAGTTCATTAGATTAGTTACATGATGAGAACCTGCCTAGGGGCATTTTAACCCTAGGATTGCCTCACACTTTGTGAAACATTATCCCACGTGGACTCTCAGTGGTCACTTCTGAGCCAGCTGCATTACGGCTTCTCCGTTCCCTGGCAACCTACCCGCATCCAGCACTCTGACGGTGGTCCCTGGCTCCCAAGGCCCACTTAAGCTGGTTGCTGGTTTCTAAGTTAAGTGACTGGCTAGCTGATGTGTCTACTATTTCAGGTGGCCCCCCCTGAGTGGTGCACCCAGAGACCTTTCAAAATACGGGCCTGGCAACCTCCTTCTGAAAAAGCAGCCGCTGAACACCCTACAGACCACAGTTGTATTGTGACACGCAGAGGGTCACTGAATGCCCTACAGACCACAGTGCTATTATGACATGTGGGGGGTTACCGTGAGTTGGAATCGACTCGAAGGCAGCTGGAATTTCAAGTGGCAGATAATTACTCAGTGTGAACACTCTCCCCGGCTGATGTTCACACTCAGATGGGTCACTGATTAACTGTTTGGGAAACACAAACATCTTAGGCAGGATCAGTGGAGGCCATGGGGTGGTGTGGAATTGGCCTGGCTGAAGTCGTTCACCCACCTCTTTGCCAGATGAACAAATGGTCTTTCATCAACTCAAAGCATGAAAAGAAAGAGAAGGAGCAGCTTGAGAAAAAAGGACAAGAAAGACAGGGGCCAGGTCTCTTGGCTCCTGAGCCAGCTCTGCCCCTGACCCTTGGCACTGGGCACGCCTCGTGTCTCTCTTATTTTCTGCGCCCGAGCAAGGGCCTCAGTGTTCTTTGAGATCCCCTCCTGTTTGTGTTGTGTGTGCACGTGCTGTTCTTTCAAACTGCAAAATCACTTTATTTTGTTTATGATTATAAGCCTCGTGCATTCCCATGGAGAAAACTCTAACCACACAGCAAAATGCAAGACAAGTAAAAATCACTGGAAATCCCACAGTCCAGACGTGACTAGTTACCATTTTAATGATCTCTCTTCACTTGGGCTGTGTCTGTTTTTCTTTAACCATTTCCTTAGGTAGATGAAGTCACTCTGTATACGCTATTGTAAAACCTCACCTTTCACCCAGCACCCTGTTCTAGAGATCTTTCCATATTCAGCCAGACAGCTGTGCATCATTCTTTTTAGGGAACCTTTAGTTTTACGGTTCTTTAATTGCATGGACGATGAATCTGAATGTTGTCAACAGACTAGATCTTCTGGAATAATCTAGGGAGAAGCACTATCCTGTGGATTTCTTTTGCTAGTGGCCAGTTCCTTAAAAAAACCCCCCCCAAAAAAAACTTCAAGGCCCCCCCCCATCCACCTCTGTGAATGTTTGAAGCCTTAAATTCATGCTTCATTGTTATTGAGGTAAAAGGAAGACAGCCTCCTAAAACTGTAGACAAGCTAAATAAAAACTACTACAGGAATGTTAAGTAGTGGTTTGAAACCGTTAGACTCTGCTTCAGTAACATTTTCATAAAAGAGCCCAGAGCCTCAGTTGCACTCCCCTTTTATCCTCTGTCCCACATACTGTTGGTTCCTGGGGAGCCAGCTCCCTGAGGTCAGTAGAATCCACAGAGATACCACAGATGGGAGCTGAGAAGTCCTTCATAATTTTTGTAAAATTCATTTGCATTTGTGCCTGGAGCTATTTCCTTAGTATAATGATCATGCCTCTACCCATTTCCTTACAATTTTATGAAAAATCCACTTCCATCAAGTCGCTTCCGACTCAGAGTGAGCCTATAGGACGGAGTAGAACTCCTCCCAGAGGGTTTCCAAGGCTGTCAGTCTTCACAGAAGCAAAGCCCAAACCAAACGGGCTGCCCTGGAGTCAATTCTGACTCACAGCGCCCCTAGAGGACAGAGTAGAACTGCCCCATAGGATTTCCAAAGCTGTCAATCTTTACGGAAGCAGACTGCTTCGTCTTTCTTCTGTGGAGCGGCTGGTGGGTTTGAACCACCAACCTTTTGTTTAGCAGCCAAGTGCTTTAACCACTGCATGATCAGAGCTTCTGCAACTTAATACCACTTTTTAAATAAATAAAACTACAACACTGAATGAGAATCACAGAGTCAAGCAACGATAAGCAGTACCTACAAGTACTCAGAGGAGCTCTGGTAGTGTAGTGCACAATGCCCTCGACTGCTGACCAGAAGGCTGGCCGTTCAAACCCATCAGCCGCTCCTCGGAAGGAAGGTAGGGCAATCTACTTCCGTAGAGATACTGCCTCGGAAACCCAAGGAGGGGTTGCTATGAGCTGGGTCCGACTCGACGGCACGTAACAACAACAACAACAAGTGCTCAGAAGAATGCAGCCCCTCCCTCTTGCTGCTGCCGACTTCTTTTCATTGGCCTCACGTATAAGATCCCCAGTCTGTGTGCAAATGTGTGTCCAGATACACTGTACATCTTTAAGTAGAGGTCCCTGGGTGGGGCAGATGGTTTGCTTTTGGCTACTGACTGAAAGGTTGGTGGTTTGAACCCACCCAGGGGTACTGAGGAAGAAGGGTCTAATGATCTTGCTCACAATCAAGAAAACCTCGTGGACTCTGTGACACACATCACCGTGAATAGAAATGGACACGACGGTAATGCTTTGGTTTGGTTTGAATGTCGTTGTTAGCTGCCATTGAGTCAATTCCGACCCCATCTGTGTAGAGTATGCTGCACTGCATAGGGCTTCCAATGCTGCGGACTTTTGGGAGCAGATGGCCAGCCCTTACTTTCTGGGTAGTTTCAAACCTCCAACCCTGCGGTAAGTAGTCCAGTATTTAATTTTATTACTATCCAGGAACTCCTTCCTCTGGGGAAAATATTTATCTATTGATCCTTCAATCTATAGAGAGAAATGTGGGTGTTTTTATGTAGATGTATGTAGATAGATAGATCGATGGATATACACACATACATGTACACAAGCATATACATAGGTTCTAATGCACATATAGCTTTATATAAATGTTGAAAAATTGAGCCAATTTTTATGTCCAACACGAGCTGAACTAATAGACTGCGGGAGATTAGGTAGTCACCTGAAACAGTGATGTGAAAGAATAGTTACTGATGGAGAAAAGTTTATGGCCTGGGATTAAGGAAGGAAAGCAGGTTTTATAAGTACAATAGAGTTTTATTTCTGTAAAGTAATTATGCAGAGAAGTATAGAAAAAGATCAGCCAGTTACTCCATAGCACTTAGCAGTGATTATCTTATTTTGGTGCACTTACTGGTGATTTTTTAGGTAAATCTTTATACCTTACTACTTTGCCAAGATTTTTAAAATTAACATTCATCACTTTTGTAGTCACAAAACCCACTTTGTGGAGAGATGAGTAGCTGTACCTTGGGGAGCTCTTCACTTACAACCTTGACTCAAGCACGAAGACCCTCTGTACTTTCATGTCTGCTCCTTCCTCTTAGTGTTTGTTGCTTCCAAGTTTGGTAAAACCGCAGTAACTAAACTCACTGCCATCAGATGGATTCCGACTCATGGCGACCCCCACAGGGTTTCCAAGGCTGTAAATCCTCACAGAAGCAGACCACCTCATCTTTCCTCTGTGGAGCAGCTAGTGGGTTTGAACCACGGGCCTTTTGGTTAGCAGCCAAATGCCTTAACCACTACCCCATCAGAGTTCCTTAAGTTTGATAAAATAGAGTGGTAAACCAGCAATCCCAGTAACTGCTTCCCTAATTTTCTATTTAGTGCCTCCTATCCCACCTTTGGGATAGGTGCTCTTTAGGGAGCTCTGGTAGCATAGTGGCTAAGGCACTTGACTGCTAACCAGAAGGCTGGCGGTTCAAACCCACCAGCCACTCCTTGGAAGGAAGGTTGGGCAATCCTACTTCCGTAGTGATACTGCCTCGGAAACCCAAGGAGGGGTCGATATGAGTCGGGGCCGACTCGACGGCAAATAACAACAACAACAACATCCCACCTTTGCCCATAAAAGGCCATGGGTCCCAGAACATGGTTTTTTTTGTTGTTGTTGTTGTTATGTGTGTGGAGGATCCCTGTTTCCTCCTGGGTACTCAGGTAGACTTGGTGAACCCCATCTGCCAAAAAGGTTAGTGTCTTCCTCTTTAAGGTGCCCATCTCACAGGTTTGATGTGAAGATTATATAAGAGAATGGATTTGGAAGAGCCTTGGAAGCTCTGAACACTAAAGGAGGAAAGACCTTACTAGCAGGTCCTCTTTGAGTAGCAATGTTTCTGTGATTCTTCTTTCTGGTTTTGGTATCTCACCCCAAGTGTTTGTGTCTGTCCTTTGTACCGTTACCTATAGGGTAAGACTGCTCAAGATCGAGCACAGCAGGCTGGGGACCTGGATTTGGCTGCTTACCTAGAAAGCCATCAGAACTATAAGATCATTGGCCATGAGGACCTGGAAACTGCCGTTTGACCCTGGTAGATGGGCAAAGAGCACCTGAGCAAGCGTATCACCTGTGCCCTCCCAGCCACTGGGCAACTCCCCTGGAAGAAGCTGATGGAATCCATGTATCTGTCTCTCTCCTGCAAGAATCTGAGACCAGGCCACCAGTTCAAGGGCTGCCAAGATGGACAACAGAACATGATAGCCCATTGAGGATGAGGCAGGATACCTGGAGATGTGTGGGCAACAGTGTCCACAAAATTTGATCCTACTGCTTCCAGCAAGTAGCATGAACTTCTGTGTTCACCTGTATAACTTCTCTTAAAGATTCAGAGGCTGTCCGGATAAATGGCACTGCTCCCTCCTCCCACACTGCACCCGTCTTCCCCTCCCACCACACAGATCTGCTGTAACTACCCACCCATTTTAAGAATACAGTGTTACCTGTTCTCTTTCCGTTCCATCTTTGAAGACCACAATGTTGTCTGAAGGTCTTTGGAAACCCTCCAGATAGCCTGCGGAAACAGCAAAACCAGAACTGTAAATCCACTTCCATTTCTAAGAGTAAATACATCAAGACTCCTTAGAGACCTTTTGCATGTCCCTCCCTCTTCCCTTTTCATTATTGAGGAGCTGGGAAGTGCCACGTGGATAATGTCAACTTGTCATGTGCTGTATCTCTGAGGTATGGTGAGGTGGCTGGGAGTTGTCTGTGCTCTGAGGTGCCTCGAGAGGTCACCCAGGGGCTGGCCCATGCGGCTGGGCTGTCACTCGCTGGCAGCCCTGAGGGACTGGTCCAGCTTGGGCTGTTTACACAGCTCAGTCCTGCCTGTGTGCAGCCACCCTTTCCCTGTGCTGCGGTAGACAGGCGCACTGGCTTCAATGAAAGCCCACGGCGAGTTGGCAGCACAGCTCGACGTGAAGAACCGTTTCAGTGGCAGAACGGAAAAGTATGTGTGGAGACTGGTCACAGCAAATGGGCTGCTGTCACAGCGTTTACGTCTAGACTTGTTCAAGGGAGAAAAGGAAAAGCAAAAGCAGAAGTAGCAACATCTGTCAGGATAACACATTCGAGAACTCAGCTGCCGCAGTGCTAACCAGAGGCTATGAAGCCTGACTTGCAGGCAGTGGTCAGAGGGGCCTGTTTTAGGTTTGCCTGCCCAGTTTTTGGTTTTCATCACTCCAAGAAAGTCTTGTCCCGAGGACAAAGCCTTGTTTAACGAGCGTCACTGCCGATCTCCAAAATACCTAGGTCTTTCTGATGGATGCCTCAGCAGACTACTTGCCAGGTACCAAGGCCGTCTCTGACACCACTGTAGCCTCCTTTCCCGTGCATGGGGTACTCTCCAGTTCTTCTCTGTTTCCTTTTCCCCTGTCAGCGAGACCTGAGTGCAGATCACCATGGTCTGAGCCGGTGGTACCGTCGTGACTTTTGGTGCTGACAGACACCAGATGGCACTTGCTGGGACCTCTACTGGACACTCCGTGAGAACGAAAATACCAGAAGAAGCATCCTCTAACTCTTTGTCACAATGCCTACTTCACTTGGGTTCAAGTCAGAAATAAAAGTGGGTGTTTCAGGGGTTTGCTTCCGGCCGACTGTGACGTCTCCCGAGCTTCCGTCCATTTGCTCTTGGACGCGAGCAAAGTGCTTCCCTCGCATTTCTGCATGTGAACGTGTGTGGCCCTTTGTCTCCATTTAATTTAAAGGTCCGGTGGGGACACATTGCTTGTCCGAATCACATTTGGTCACATCTCATCATTCTGACAGGATGGCAGTGATAACACAGCTTTGCGTAGGACTGGCCTCTGGGGGGATGGGATTGTATGAGCACAGTCTTCCCCACAGTCATTTCAGCATCAGATTGTTGGCGTCCTTTCCAGCTGTGGGAGCATGGGTTGGTGGTGGTAATTGGTTTCCATAGACCAGTCCCAAAAAATGGAAGCATCTTTGGGATTTTATGGCAAAGGAAGGAGGGACTGCAGTAGATTGTTCCCAGAAGTTGGGAAAAAAATATGCTCCGGGAGAACTTAATCACTGTGCTTCTGCTGGGGTTTTTCCAGTTGGTTGGACTATTGGGGAGATGTTGTGATGACAGGAATATAACATAATCCCTGGAGCAGCCTGGACCCTGGCTTTGAATGATACCTTCCAGCACCCTGAGTGAGCCAAACGCTTGGCCAAGCGGATGGTTACCCAGCTGCCCCTGCTGGAATGAAGGACCCTATTTTCACTAACTAGGATCTCAGATTTCTCTGGGCCTGCCTTAGAGCAGCCCAGAGAAAGCTAAGGATACAGGCGGCCCTGTGCCAACTCAAAGAGCTCCAACTGGAGTCAAAAGCAAATCCCTGGTATGAAAATAGATGAGGTTCTGACTACTGGAGGGGCCCTGGTGCACTTGGAAGTCATTCTACCTGCCCCCTCAAATAAATACTAAGTCATTACGATCCTATGTTACTGATAGGGGTGACGCATGGCCAAGGCAAATACTGCTTTGAAAAACCAAACGGCCCCAGAGACTTGGGCTTTCCAGAAAAAGAGCATCCAAAGTGAACAGAAGAGTCCATTTTTAATGGTTTAGATGGGAAATCTACCTCCTGAAGCCTTTCTTTTAATAGGTCGCTGTGTGTGCCGGTCCTGGGCTTCCGAAAGCGAGAAGGCCACGTCCTCCAGGAGTTTCCGCTCAGCTTCCTAGGCTGCCTCCCCGCTAACGGGCCATCCGCAGGTATTGAAGCAGAGGGGCTGGTCCTGGCCTGAACACCCACGTGACTTAAAGGGAAAGGCATAACTCTGTTCCAGAAAGATTTTTTTTTTTGTGAGAAACCTCTGAGGCAGCTTCCCAAGCTGTGGCTGGCTGGGCCAGCGTCCCTCTGCGTTTGCCTCGCGACAGCAGCTTCCTGTCGGGTGCAGTCTGCCCTGGGATTCCATTTGTAGATCAGGTTAGTGGAGGGATGAGGTCCGGAGAGGCATTAAAAGACAGCAGCATGCAACCTTAACGCAAGTCACGGTTGCAGCCCTATAGTCCAGTATGACACTTCAGTGACATAGAACCCAGGTCGGCTGATCTGGGCCACGTTCAAGACCTTCACAGAGACCTGAAGAGAGCCAAGGAGACAAACAGCCCGGCGGGGAGCTTGGCTTTCAGATTTCCGATTCCAGGTGTCCCTCCACTTTTTGAAAGTTCCCTTTATGCCATTTTGCTTTTATGAAAGACCTACATTAGTTCCCGTTTGCACTAACAGAAAGAAATCCCAAGAGGATCTTCTCTTTTGCGAAAAGCGAGTTAGCATCCGGTGTGTGCTCTGCAGCAAGCGGTCTAGGAGGCTGCGCAGACCCCGAGCCGTGAGTGGCACCGACAAGGCCCTTGCCCGGGAGGTACCCTCAGCATCTCAGCATCAGGCCACTGAACCGGCTCTGAGATCTCTATACGCTAGTGGTGCTTTAGGGCTCATGTGTTATATGGTATGACTGGTACGTTATTTTGGGGGGTCTGGGAACGTCCACAAATGTCTCCCATATATATGAATGGTCATAGCTTCTTTTCAAGATTTCATAGGAAGACTGCTTTCGGATAGCGGGGGAAAGCCGTACCTCTGTGCTGGTGAGAACCTAAAACCCATGCAGTTTCTGAACCAGAGAAGTTCGCTGACAAGTATAGCTGTCACTTATTAGTGACATAGGCCAGACAGCTCCATCTCCCCCACCGCTCCACTTCCCTTCCTCGTGCTGGCTTTAGGGCTCAGGCGGGCCTCCTTTTGCTGTGAGAGTCCCAATAGGGGGTTAATTTCATTTGAGCCTGCAACGGTTCCTTTGGGAGCTCTGGTGGCCTAGTGCCTAAGGCACTTGACTGCTAACCGGAAGGCTGGTGGTTCAAACCCACCAGCCACTCCTCAGAAGGAAGACTGGGCAATCTACTTCCATAGTGATACTGCCTCGGAAACCCAAGGAGGGGTCGTGACCGTTCCTTTGCCTAAAGGACGGTTAACATTTCTTCACTAGCCTCCTCTCCCTGTCTTAGAGAATGTGGCGGAGTCACTTCATCCCATGACACCGCAATTATATTTAATGTTTAGACTTTTGTTTTGACCATAAGAGTAACACATGCTTTTAATAAAAAAGTTTGAATATCACGGTGAACATCAAACTCAAAATCTGGGTGTCACCTGTGTGGTCACACCCCTCTCAGAGATGAACAGTGACATACACCCACTGCTGCTTGTAAGCCCTTTCAGAAGTAGGAATGTTGTAAGCCATTTCAGAATATGAATATCAACAAGCCTGTCAGGGGAGAGATGTATTTATTTCTATACAGATCTGTGTGTGTGTGTGCGCATATATTGCACCATACACACATACATTTTGCAGGTTTAAAAAAAAGAAAACGTTCTAAAAGCATGTTAATCACTTGTATATGTGTAGGTAGCATAGTGGCTAAGGCACTTGACTGCTAACCAGAAGGCTGGCGGTTCAAACCCACCAGCCACTCCTCTGAAAGAAGATGGGGCAACCTACTTCCATAGTGATACTGCCTCGGAAACCCAAGGAGGGGTCGCTATGAGTCGGGTCCGACTCGATGGCACATAACAACAACAACAACAACATATGTGTAGTTGCAGGAGCTCTGGTGGTATAGTGCGGAAGACATTTGACACTAACCAGAAGGTTGATGGTTCAAACCCACCAGCCTCTCTGTGGAAGGAAATGGGACAATCTACTTCCATAAAGATGTACAGACTTGGAAACCCAATGGGGGTTGCTGTGAGTTGGAATCAACCCGATGGCAGTGGGTTTGGTGTTTTATTTGTGCAGTTAATCCCTACAGGCAAAGATAAACAGAGAATTGTAATTTATTTTTGTTATTTCTGCTGCTACTAAGCTTGGTTCTATCTTCGCAGCACTTAGAAGGACACATGACACTGGCTATTGCTTGTGTCACATAATACCCGCAACCAAGAGGTCTTGGGATTCTGTCTGTTGCTTTCCATGTCACATGAATCCTGCATTAGCCCAGAGACCTGTCTGCCTGCCT